AGCATCTAAACTATCAATTTTTTTTCATTTCAGTGCCTAAACTTAACGCCATTAATTCGTATCCTAAATTTCGGATAGTTAAAATAGTGATCCAATTCCAATCTGAAAAAACTAAATATCCGAATGTTCGATAGCTAAAACAATGATTTAAATTTAATCCAAAAAATTAAATATCCGATTTTTTCGAATAAAATAATATCTGAAAATCTGATCCAAACATATCACTTAAAAAACGAAGAGAAGTAGATTTATTGTCTGAAAACACATATGAATGTGATTGAGCTTCCACCTCATGTACCTAAAGTTTAAGATTTTAGGGGCTATTTGTTTGTCTCTTAACGTTAAATCGTTCAGCGCTGAATGTTAAAACCGTTCAGCATACAGCGCGTTTGTTTCGTACCTCTAATGATCCAGTGCTGACTGATTCAACAAACAATGTTGAATGATTCAACACATAATACATTATGATCATTCAGAGCCAGTTATCAAACAGCATGTCACATTCAGAGCCTCTGAATCATTCATTTAAATCATTTAGAGCTTAACCATATAAGTAGACAAACATCCCCTAACTTAGAAAATCCAATATTATGTGTATATGTGTATTTCAACTGGAAGAGCAAGGGATACAGTTGGTTATGGACTATTGTAGTTATATTATTAAGAATTATTTCGAACTCTTTATAAATAAGATTACATAGTATATTAGGTTCATATATTTTTTATTAAATGATATATAATATTAATAATTTATAGTAGATAAGATCCCTTGTTTGCTATCTAAAACTATGAAATTTCGGGTAAATATTTGATCCATGGGGACCCTTTATTTCACCGCAGTGTTCATTCCTAATTTATCAAGTCAGTGAGCATATTTGGATAACATGAATCTTCTATAAACAAGGTTCTATTTGCCCTTTGGTGGGTTTATAAATAAGATTTGCATCAATAAATTTAAAATAATAATTAACGATATTAATCCCATATTTTCTAACCGGTTGAAGACATAATAATAATATAATAATAATAATAAATAATAATAATAATAATAGAAGAATTGAAAATGTCTCAGCTACTAGGCCTATAGCTAAAAGCACATTATTATAATATGAAATCGAAAATTTTCAAGTACATATTAAATTTGATTATACAATATTTTTCATATATCCAATATGAATTATTCAAAATTCAGATCAATATTTGAATACTCAGATCAATCATCGGATAAATAAATTGATTAATTTCAATCATGTTTTTTTGCACGCCCCTAATGTCCATATAGGATCAAAACAATCTTCTCCATATCAATCATAACTAAACTCATTAATGTTAATGTATACAAGCAAAATGTAGATAATGATATAGATCAATTATGGGCAATAGCATGAAAATTATATACAATATGAACCAAACATACTATTGGTCCTATTTAAACATTAATGAGACCAAAAATTTTACCAAAATTAGAATGTAATAAATGAAAAAAAAAAAAACTTTATTTTCTGCATAAGTAACCTTACAATATCCTTAACACAAGTAATTAAATTGTATCTATAACACAAGAACATTTTAAAAATTGCAAACTATTATTTAAACTAAATATCCTCGAATGATATTATATCTGCATGACTAGTGTGTTCATAATAACTAGAGTAATAATCCCTTGATAAACGTACAACCATAAGTTTATACTCATGCCCGGGACTAGGACGTTAGAGGTCCTGTGCAAATTCTTAAAACAAAAACAAATAGAGGCCTAAACTTCTTCCTGAACTCCTTTCTCGTAAAGTGGAGTTAGACCCAAAAAAATGAGATAAGCTTTACAGTTGTAGCACAATACTAATTATTAATATTTCTCATATGACTTCAACAAGATTTGATCGCAGGTTCTGTGGTTTTGTGCCCAAAAATTTTACCACTTATCCATAATACTTTGTTTGTTTTTTTATTGTAACAATAGCAATAAATCTAATTTTTTGGGGCCCTTTCTATTCCGGAGCCCTGTCCCGTCGCGCACGTTGCGCTGTCCTAGCCCCACCTCAGTTTATACCAATACGTTTTATGAACACCTTACTCTAAATTTTCTTTAATAACAAAACTTAATATCTATATGCTTAGACTTTAAAATATTTTTGTTAGTTGTCATAAAACAAATTATCTTTCTATTCAATCCAGAACTAATTGTCCATGTAACCAAATTGTTTAAATATATGCTTAATATCTTAAAATACATTGTGTCTGAATGCATACAAAACTGGTTAAAATGAAAATAAAAATGGTGGAAAAACATAGAATAAAAAAATCAGTTCTACATATTTTACTTCAGGCCATGTATATCAGTTTTCATCATCTGAGTCATCAAATGTTATTTTTTTAGCCTTTGGAGCATCAGCAGCGATTTCCTTGAAGTGAGCCCCATATAGCTTGGATTACTGTATTAAGACGATGATCAAACATGCATACTAGTTCAAAGTTCAAGACGGTTTTGCCCTTCACTAATACAGAAGGCACACAAGGATGCATGCAAGAGAGGGGTAAAAAAACAAACCACCTTCTTGACATGAGTTCCAAATTTCAACAGTGCTGGTGGTACAACCTGCCCAGCTTCTTTGAGAACATTTACCAGTTCTCCAGCGAGTCCCTGCCATAAGCTTGTCACTGTTTGAAAGAAATAAAATTGACCATGTTCCACTCACCAATCCTTATCGAAACCAACTTGTTTAATTTAAGGGTGTAAAATAAATTTGCACTAGTTTACCTTGTTCTGCTTAGTGAAGATATGTGAGCAACACCCTTCCTACCAGCTCTTCCTGTCCTCCCTATCCGGTGTACATAATCTTCTGTAGTGAGAGGAAAACTATAATTGATCACTACTACATCTGGAATATCCAATCCCCTAGCAGCAACATCCATAGCTACCTGAATCACAAGGTGTTAATAAGTATCAATATGCCTAATATTACTTACCAATCAAATTTTGCAAAGGCCTATAGTCAAAATCAACATAAAACCCCAGGCTCCAAGTGTGCTTTCGTTTTTTATCTGGTTGGACCATAGTAGTACTGCAATCTAGTCTAGAGATCCAACTAATCTTTGCACACATTGGCTTTCCGCAGAAAGTTGTAACAATATTTAAAAACAAAATATAATTTGCAGGAGTATACCATCAAAGGGCAGCTTCCTTTCTTGAATGATAAAGCCTTAGTGCGATCATTTTGTGCTTTGCGACCATGTATAGAAACAACATTCCAGCCACCAGGAAAAAATAAAACAAAATAAACTAAAAAAGCAAGAAGTCGAAATAAAATGATAGTTAAATTCTGACGCAATCACGTGTGCAAGACTGATTTTGAACTTTTAACCCCAACCAGCTTGAACCATCAATAATTCTTATGATATTTAATTGCACAACTCCACATTAATATCACCCAATGACATGTTGGACTAATATCATCAAATTAGATGATTACCATTCTTGCAGATTTTAATAGCTCAGGTGATTAATTAAAGTCAAAACTAAGATGAGACCTATAATAATATCAAAGTTCAAGGGCCATTTTAATTAAAGGAATGAATTTTCAAACTTATTTATTTAACATGCATCCCATTTTAAAAAACAAATTTCAAATTTTAAATGCCACCCATTCTATTTTGCCAATTAAGAGATAACTTATTTTTTAAATACAAGGGAAGTAAAATTTACCTTCTCTTGAGCACAATTTCTATACGATCAGCTTCTGCCTGGTACAAGACAAATACCAACACTCTGTTCCTGATGGAAATGAAAACCTCTATGTCAAGACTCAACAGAGTATAAAATTACCAGAAGTCAAAATATATAAAGATAAAAAATAACAGAATAATACAAGTCTAGTCAACTTAGAGTAACAGTATGGGCTTAGTATCCCCGTAAAGGTTAATGCCAACAAAATGAAGCAATAATATAATAAAAAATCCTATTAGATAAATCAATATTCATAATCTACTAGAGAACATAAGGATGTCTCGGATATATCTAAATTCTAATATTTTGGGCAGATCTTTGGGTTTAAACGAATTGTCTAACCCTTGAACAAGTTTAAGATGACACGTTAATAATAATTTAAATTTTATATATTTATATTAAAAATAACAGCTTTAATTGTAAATCACCCCTTGAAAAGTTCTTTGTTCACTTTCACCCTTGATATAATATTATTCTTAATATTTATATATTTATTTATATTTTTGTCCAATAAGATGATGACACGTGTTAATACCATATTTGTTTAAATTTAAACTAAACAACAAAATATGCTTTCGCTCAGGAGAAACTCACGAACAAAGCCTTCTCCTCCTCCTTTTAAAGGCTCCGATGAGGAGCTAACAATCGCCAAACACCCTCCTTTAACCACCATGATTTCTAAACGAAATCCTAAATCACCTATCCTCTCAATCGAATAAAAAGCAGGTTCTGAATCTTAAAAACTCAACCTTTCAAGACCTAAAAAGATGACTTGGACATGCCACGTTAGTGTTTGGGTCTATTTCTATTTGGTCAACATCATGTATTGATCGTCAGTTGATTAATAATTTTCATCTAACCAATGTATTTTTTAATTCAAAATAAAATATTTTGAGATCAAATGTTTAAAAATAATAATATGGATAAATTTGACAATAAAATCAAACGTTAAAATTATTTTATTATATTATGTGGATTTTAAATATAGAGTAGATATTTATAATTTTTCTTTTAATGGACAGGAAAATGGAAAGGGGACCCTCGCGAAAGCTGGAAACACGTGATTTTCACCCGTCTTCGCAACCAGTGAATTACCAATTTTAAGGTGTAATCACAGTGGTATTGCCACGTGTACTACCACTAGAGATAATCTGTTACCTTACCCAGTCTAGTGTCTACCAATAGCGGGTCCAAACTCGTAAATATTTCAAAATAAAAAGGGCAAATATTGAATTGCGCACAATATCCCGCGTCACTCCCAAGCCAAGCCAATTTACGAAAAGAGTAAAGTAGAAGTTCATTATTTCAAGTCTCAACAAAAACTGGCCTTACTTTGGAGAAAATTTTGGATCTGAAACAGAGAGAGAGAACGAGAGTATGAATCGCCACCACGATCCAAATCCTTTCGATGAAGAAGAAGTCAATCCATTTTCGGTATTGTTTTTCTTTATTTCCCTTTTTTGCCCTTTTCAGATTTACATTTTTTCGTTCTGTTTTTTGTGTGCGTTAGTCGGTTTCTCGACTTCTCAAGGCTAGTTTCGGAATTAGGTTTGGAGAATACTGGATCTGAAAACTTTGATTGCTGACATTTCGGTGATGAATGCTTCTAGTTGATTTTTTTTCTTTTGTTGTAATTAATGAAAAAAACTATATATTTTAGCTGCTGAACTTTCTGTGTGTATTTTTTAGGTGTTTTTTTTTCGATTCTCAAAACGTAATATAAATTAAAATGTTTTCTTAATAATATATATTGAATGTAGTTTCAAAATTGGTTACTATGATTTGGAAATTTATGGACCACACAAGTTCAATTTAAGCTGAACGTGAACCTATTTCTTCATTGTTAACCGTGAGACCATCTATGTAATAACTCGGGGTATTTATCGAGCCAGTCAATCATGAATTGAACAATGTTTGACTCGATAAAAATATGTCTCGATTCGTTGCTCGTTAAGCTCAATTAAATTTTACTTGTTACTAGACTCTACGTTCATTACTCAACTCGTTGCTTGTTAAGCTCACCAAAATTTTTCACTTAACTATATGTAAAATCTAGTAAATTATTAGTTAATAATTTAGTATCTTTCTTATTGTTTATTATAGAATTAATAAATTAAGTAATTATTAATTATAATTCAATATCTTTCTTATTATTAGAAAATTAATAATTATTAATTAGACTTTCTTTTCTTAATGGAATGATTGTTTAAGGTAATTATTAAAAAATATAAAAAAGTTAATGAATTGTTCGCTAACTTATCAAGTTAGATCTTGCTCGACTCAACTCGTTATGGTCTCAAGTCAAGCTCGAGTTTGAGTCGAATCAACCCGAATGTTGACCGAGTTTTGACCAACTCAAGTTCAAGCTACTCATGAGTTGTTCAACTCATTAAGCACCCCTAGTAATAACGTTGATACACACTAGTCACATTTATAGTATACACCATGTTAAGTGCTGTTATTTGGACAATTAATGCTTATTTGGCATGATTTATATCTCTTGATACTGATGTTTCCCATCTTATTCCGTCGTCTTTTGGTGTGCATTAAATTTAAAATTTTAAATATATTAGACCATGTTGTTTAGTGTTTTTACTTATTTGAGTTTCATTGCAGAATGGTGGTGGTGTTGCTCCTGCACGACCGCTTGCATCTGAACCTCGGGGTTTTGGGCAGAAACATGATGCTACTGTAGATATACCTCTGGATACAATGAACGTAATGAAGTTTCCGTGTCCTTTACATTTCAATAGCATTAATACTTACTGATTATTTTGTTTTATTGACTTTCTTAATTGCAGGATTCCAAGAAAAGAGAAAAGGAACTTGCAACTTGGGAAGCTGATCTCAAAAGAAGGGAAAAGGTTGTTTTTAACTCTGTGCTTGTTTAGAAGCATAAATCTCTTGCTTTCTTTTTTCTTCAAGTAAATACATATATTCACTAGATTATATCCTGTGATGCCTCCTTTCGCGGGCACAACATTAATTGTTCTTATGATGCTACCTCAACTTGAGTTTTGAGTTCTTTATTTAAACTTATGTTCTATTTTTTCGTTTTTATTTTCAGGATATAAAGCGAAGGGAAGCTGCCGTTTCACAAAGTAAGAGAACTGGACCACAAGCAACTTTCTAACTTTACTTTCTTTTCTAGTGGTCTGAAAAAGTACTAAATGATGCCTCTTTTTTGTCATGGTATATCAGCTGGTGTTTCCACAGATAATAAAAACTGGCCACCAATTTTCCCAATTATACATCATGATATAGCTAATGAGATACCAGTTCATGCTCAGAGGCTGCAATATCTTGCATTTGCAAGTTGGCTTGGTATGGAGGTTTATCTTTTCATGGATTTTTCTCCGCTACTCTCCATTCTTGCCTTTTTAATGTAAATTGTTCGAGTGTATATACAAAAGACTATCTTGTAAACTTTATGTGTTCAATTTTTTGCAACTGAATTTTGTTGTTGTATTAGTCTCTGTCCTTTTTATACTTGAATGTATCTAAAAATATCTTATTCGCTTGTAGTTCTTTTTCCAGTTTAATCCTTAAGAAAAACAATAATAATACTATTATTTTGTGCATACATGCATGTAAAAAAGTGATGACCAAATTTATGCAGTTTGTCTAGATGCCATTATCGTGTAATGTATTCAGAGTATTTATCTCTCTCTCTTCTTTTAGGATTTTCTTTTAATCTTCATTTAATAGTTACAGTATGGTATTAATTTTGGCAATTATGCCAAAGTTTGTGCCTTATCACCTCTCCATGTTTTGTATTACTGACATGCTTTAATTTATCATATGTCAGGCGTAGTTCTTTGCCTTGTTTTTAATGTTATTGCGGTGATTGTTTGTTGGATTCAAGGTGGTGGTAAGTATTTTCTGATTCTCCGATATTTTGCCTTTATTCTGGAATGTGGTCTAGGCATGCAGTAGTGTTTATATTCTAACTCGGTTCATACGTTTTAGGTGTTAAAATTTTTTTCCTTGCTGTAATCTACATGTTGCTTGGATGCCCTCTTTCATATGTGTTGTGGTACAGACCTCTCTACCGAGGAATGAGGTAAATATTTAGTGCTTGGTTTGAATATTCTATTTTTAGCTTGAAAAAAGATAAAATTTTGTGCTGATGGTTGTTCTAATGGGTTTCATCTTACAGGACAGAGTTGTTCTAATGGGTTTCATCTTACAGGACAGATAGTGCCTTGAATTTTGGTTGGTTTTTCATGTTCTACTTGGTGAGTTTTAGTAGTGATTGGGAGCATTATTGTTATTTATTGCTTTCGTTTAACCTGTCTATCTGCTTTGTGTAGCTCCACCTTGGGTTTTGCATTTTTGCTGCAATTGCTCCTCCTGTTGTCTTTCATGGGAAATCATTAACGTAAGTTCTTCACTCCCTAATTTGCTCTTGCGGAAAGACCTTGAGTTGGCATAGTTGTTGATTGTCCAAGCAATTTTGTATGTATAGTTGTGATTGAATGTATAGATGTTCGAGCCTGTTTAGATGCTGTTATAGCTACTTCTGGATGTTCCAAATTCTAACCTCTTTTTGTTAGTTACCGGACATTCTAACCTCTTTTTTTCTGTTTTGCTTTGTCAAGATGCTGCTTATTTGGTTGAAATTTTTTTATGATTTGTATTTTCTGATGCCTGTAGTGTATCTCCTTTTTTGTTAGTTACCAGGCATTCTACCTCTTTGTATTAGATTTAAATATATTCCTATTCAAAAGTACGTGTTTTAGTGAGAGAAGCTCAGCTTCTCTCTAACCTAGGCGTTTTCAAAATTCAAATTCAAATTTCCACGAGCCCCAGGCTCTCTCCACCGACAACCACCAGTCGTCCGCCGCCTTCGTCCGCCACCGCCGCCGCCGTCGTCATCCATCATCCGCCACACTCCGACCACCGTTTGAAGCCGTTTTTTTCCTGGGAAGATCGCCAGGTGTTTCCTATTCTGGGTTTGGTTTTCCGATTAGACTCTTTTCGTTGTAGATCTAAACGCCGCTCACGGCCGTTTTCGTCTCATCACCGTTGAACGTACACCGGACATCGCATCTCCTCTGTACTCAGAGCCTTTCGCGACCATAACCATTTTTCTTAGTGTCGAGAAATAGTTGCATCTCTCTCCATGATTTTGTAGTGAGCAGTTTCAGCTAGAACAGACTCTCACTACTCCAAACCTTCTGCTTTCTCCTCCTCTGCCGACCCAGTCTTCAACTCATCTATTGGTGGATTTCCTCCGACACGCCCATTTAGCTTTGAGCTCTTGTTCTGGAAATTTTTATTCCAGGGGTTATACGTAACTTCAGTTTACTTCGTCGGTAGAACAGACGCAGTGAGCAGTTTTGTAGTAAGCAGTTTCAGCAAGAACAAACGTTCACTGCTCTAAACCTTCTGCTTTCCTCCTCTGCTGTCCCAGTCTTCAGACTCATTTATTGGTGGATTTCCTCCGACACTGCCGATTCAACTCTGAGCTCTTATTCTGGGAATTTTTTTTCCAGATTATTCGTCAAGTATCTAGGTTTTTCACTTCATCAGTCTTTCATCACTTGCCGGTGTTGGAATCCACTCTTCTCTCCAGCAGAGACCTTCGTCCATGCTCATACACCCTCTGCAGCTGCACCTTCTCCCCCATCTCACCCTTCTAATCCTGACGAGGTTCGTACTATCTTCATTATGGTCTGCCTGAAGACGTCAAAGAGAGAGAGCTACAAAATCTACTTAGATGGCTTCCAGGTTATGAAGATTCGCAATTGAACTTCAAGGGAGAAAAGCCTAAGGGTTTTGCTCTCTTCTAATGCAAATTTGCGGTTGCTGCCAAGGATGTCCTTCAGAAAATGGTTTTTGATGCTAAGTTGAAGTCTCTTTTGCACATTGAGATGGCAAGGAAGAATCTTGTTGTTAAAAGAGTTTTCTGATTCTGATGCTTTGACAATGGACGTTTTCCTGTTCATCCAGTATTGCCATTGCCAAATCCAGCTTCTGTAGGATCTCCTAGTACTCATGTGCCTGTTAAAACTGGGTGTTGCGTTAAAAAGTCTGCAGTAGATGGTGTCCACGAGGGAATCGGGAGTCCACCACAAAGGGGTGCAGTAATGACAAGTCTGGATGTATACGTTATTTATTGAGAATTTACCAGAGAAGATCCATTGGAAGAGGTTTGGATATTTATTTTGCTCTCACGGTCGGGTACTGATGCTTTTATTCAAATAAAGAAATTCAAAAGGAGTTCACTTGGTTTCATTCGCTTCGCATCAATCGAAGAGCAGGAGAGCGATCTCAAAAATGAAGGCTATCATATCGACGGCAGCAAAATTGAAGTTTCTTTCGCTAAATTCAAACCTCGACATTCCTATTGGAGAAATCCTCGACAGGTGTTTTTCGTAAGTCCGAGATGGGAGATGATTCGAGGAAGAATCATTATAAAGCTGAAGGGTTATAGATGAAGAAAAACTTCAGGTGTTGAGCAATTGTCTAGTGGGAGGTGCAAAGAATTTATCAAAATCGGTCATCTCGCTAGACAAATGCATGCAAAGGGCCTCACTGCTTCTCCTTAATGAGAGCTGCTGGTAGCAGTATTAATGATTTTCGAGACTCTGCTTCATTGAGAAGTGTTGAGAACGATAAATCAAAGACTCTCGCAGAGTGGTTCTCCATGTCGAAGCTAGGTCAGAGTTTGGTAATGGAGTGTCGCCGAGTATTGTTAGTTTGCGAGGGTGTTCCGTTTCACGTATGGAATTGGGATACTTTCAGAACATTGCTGATTGTTGGGGTCAGTTACTAGCAATCGATGAAGCTGTCAGTCACCATCATCCTTTGATCGGGCAAAATTCAAGTCCTCGCAAAGGCTGGTGCGAGAATTGATGCGACGTTGGAATTGAAGGTTGGTGACAACTCCTTCAAGATCATGGTGCATGAGATAGAGCCTTCATTCAAGCCAAACTCTTGGACCTGAAGAAGACGTCTCATAGATCTTGTCTCTCTAATTGTGTTTTGATTTAGTTTATATGGTTGCAGGTGTTGCGTCCCTTTTGTATTATGTTCTGTTGCGTTGTTTAATTCTATTGCTGGAGGTGTATTTAGAAATAAGTGATTCGATTGCGACTTGGATGAGGTTTTATGAGCTTAAGGTGTTTGTTGTAATGGTGAATATCACCATAGGAGGATATTCCGTGTTATCTTTGTATTGGGTATATTATTAATAAACTTTGAGGTACTCTTTTTTCCTTCCAATGTTCGTTAACATACTTCTTAGTATGTGAAAGAATACGAAGGAGTTTTTAATGAGACCTCCAACTTCTATAAAAAAAACCTTTGTATTTTACTATATTTTTCTGTTGCCTCTAATTGCAGTGGTATCCTGGCGGCAATTGATTTATCGGATGATATGATAGCAGGGGTAAGTTGCACTTCTTTTGCATGTTGGAATTATTTCCCTCTTATTGGCAGCTAGTTGTAGCAACCTAAGGGATGTACATTGTTGTCCTCAATTTTTTGACAAATAAAATTTACCAAGTACCATTGTTCTCAGGAGAGTATTGAGAGATATATGATAATCCATGGATGCTTTTGCTTTTGATAGAGTCTAACCCTTTTCTCAACATTATGTTATTAACTATTTGGGCTTAACTAATTTATTTGTGTTTTACAGATTTCTACTTGTTGGTTTTGGACTGTTTTGCTTGGAGTCCCTGCTGAGCTTGTGGGTTATTCAGGTTTAGATACAGCATTTCTCTTGATTCATAATAGTTAGTTATTTAATTAATGTATTTTTATTTTAATAAAAAGGATATGTGGCTATGTCATCTGATTTAATTATTAATGCTGCTCATGAAATCTGCACAGTTGTTTTTACAAGTTTAGGTGAATATATGAAAACTGAGATCTATACGCTATCAAATCAGTGTCATGATAGATTAAATAATTTATGCGTTTGATTATGTTGCTGCTGCTGTTAATTTTTCTTACACATAGCTGTAACTGCTTTGCCTTGATATTTAGTTGCTCAACTATTTTGTGTTGTCTGTGCAGAAAATTTACTTGTACTTTAGGGGGCACAAGTAAAGATATTAAAGCGAGGCTGTGCTGTGGTCGTATTTGGTGGGGGGCACAAAGTAAAGAGATACAAAAATGCGGCTATGCTGTGGTCATATCTGGATGTTTGTTGACGGTGCTTCTCTCCATCTAATTGGTTTTTTATATATAAATAGTATACCTTGTTATTGTATGTCGTTTTATGATTGTGGAATGGATTGATACAATAACGGTTTGTATGTCATTACAACTGTGTAGTTCGACGAAATCATAGTTCTTACTGGCTTTTGAGAGTTGGAAGAGGGTTCAAGTAATTTCGAATTTGTAATCATCGAAATTTATTTCCAATTATTGGTTTATACTTTCATGTGGCATGTCCTCAAACATGTTTTAAATAAATTAATCCATCTTTGAATGTAAAACCTTAATTTATTAATAACTCAAATCAGTGTAGAAGTCGGGTTACAATCATTCTTCGAAGTCACTCTTTTTTGGGCCAATCATCATGATATGGCCGCACGTTCCACAATTAAAATGTAACATATGTAGAGATTCAATTTACCATTCTATTTAATCCTCACTGGTATATCAACATCTTAAAAGATTATAAGAATATAATGATCATATGATAAATAAATGTATTATCTAAAAAATTATTTTGGAAAATGGACAAAAATATAAAATCTTCATGAATAAATTTCCGTAGTATCTACTTACATGATTAGTTGATTAAAAAAACTACATTATAAGAAATATATTCAAATTTGTTTCATACTCAATCAGCAGAAAATAAATTAAACATCCTATTTTTAATCAAACTAAATTTTATATTTTCTCAAAAACAATTTGAATCATATCTATTTCAGATCAATCTCTAACAAAATAGAATAAACCCAATGATTATACATGGTAATTATCAAACCAAAGAGCCTAATCTATTCCATAATCTCTAAATATGACTATGAAGGTTGAAAGTTACTTGACCAAGCTCGACTGTCAAAAAGTACCAAAAAATAATCCAGGACCATATAAGAGGACTTTTAAATAATCGCTTCTAACATAAAATTGATTAAGAAATAAGTCATTTTCTATTAATGAACTTTAGTAGGGTAGGAGGGTTTTAATTTTTATTAATCTGACTATGTATAGTATTGCAATTGATGTTCCCTCGTATGATTTTACCATGTTTTATCTCTCGATCAATATGAGAAAATAAAATTTTCACTTTCAATCAAGTTAATTTTTTTTATTTTTCTTAATCGATAAATCGAATTCAAATCAACTAACGAAATAGAATGAACTCGATAATTTTCCGTTTGATAATCAGTAAAGCTTTAGCAGGTAGGATGGTTTTAATATATAATAAATCTGATCATGCATAGTATTGTAACTGTGCTCCCTACAAATACCTTAACAACATGGGTAAAATCCGTACTTTGGAGGACGAGAAGGCATATTGTCAATCTCACCACAATCATGTTTTCATCAAAGAGTTGAATGTCTTCCATCATCCAAAATGGCTTGATGTTCATCAGGATCTTCCTTGGAATTACCCACCACTTTGTCTTTATACGAGATCACCCAAGGCCACCGAAATCCTTCGTTCACCCATAAGATTTGAGTTAAGAACGGTCCTCTAAAAGATCCAACTAGCTTTACACATATAAGCCCAACTTGAAGAGCTTAGAAAGGAGCCATTGTGGCCTAACATCAGTAACCACACCAGTTGTTTGATTTTGAAATAAGGTAGGTCGAGAAGCTTTGTACTTACATGAAAATAAAACAAGCAGCTGCAAGAGCGTATTTTGCAAACGGTAGGCTGTTGTTATTCTTCACTCCTAGTTTTTTCGCCCATTATTTCTTTGTGCATATGAAATGAATGACCCCTTAAACATTACTTCACAAAGGAACAGTCCAAAGATTGACTTGCATAATGCATGGCATAGGCTGCATATCACCTCCACCCCCAAACCCCTCATCTTTAAAAAGCCAGTCCCTCCATGCCACGTGGCACACAAGAATATCCAAAACTACAAAAAAAATAGCACCCCATGCCCTGTAGCAAATGAATTTGGAAATGACTCTTTTATCCATGGCCAATTGAATAGAGTCCATTCATATCACCTCCAAAACTAGGGGCAGTTAGAGGAATCCAGAAACAAAAGACACCTCAGCTTTCCATCACCTTAGCAATTCCATTTCTCCCTTCAACCCTTCCTCTTCTTTTTGTGTTCCAAAATTTTCCTTGGAAGTAAAACAATCCAAACTCTCTTTTATGTGGTCTCTGAGGACCATTTTAGCAACCTCTTCCTGCCTTAAAAGCTCTCTAAATTCTCTTCCTCTAGCAGGCAGACCAAGAGAGAGCAATGGTAGTTTGCACAGTTTACACCACTGGATCTCTCAGTTCAACATGTTCAATCTCCCACCATCGAAAAAAACTTAAGTTCTCACCAAAAGCACCTAGTTTTCTACAGCGCTGGAAAGAGAAGCAGCAGCAGCCCCTGGGTGATAAGCTGCTCTCTAGGCTGTTGGGCCTGCATATACTTTTTGAAGGACTTATTTGACCAACAATAATTTAAGGACTTAAAACAAAAAAGGGGGCATGGTTTAGGGGCTTATTTTTACTTAAGCCTTTTTTTAAACTACAACTGTTGATGCAAATTGGGGTGCTTCAATATAGGTTTGATGAGCGTGTGAGGGATCTGTTAGACTTCAGTATCTATTTGGACATCAGCAATGAGGTCAAGTTTGCATGAAAATCCAGGTGAAGTACTTTGTATTGTAATGTAAAAAAAAAATGTTGTTCCAAGCCTGGATTTTGCTGGTTAGCGTCATCTTACTTTTGTCATGGAAACATAGAGGGACATGGGCTGAGAGAGGACACAGCCTTGAGAGCATTAAAGCCGCATCGAAGCCAGGAAGCCCGATTTCGATGCCTATAGCGGTATAATTTACCCTACCTATATAATTCCATATTTAATTTTATTTACAAGTAACCGTACACATCTAGGAATGGCAGCTACATGTATACAAACTTACAATAATCTTGTGTTTGGTGGGTGCACTGCAGATCCTCAGAAGCAATACGCGGATGCAGTGATCGAAGTGCTGCCGACTCAGTTGATTCCGGACGACAACGAGGGGAAGGTTTTGAGAGTTAGGTTGATAATGAAAGAAGGGGTGGAGTATTTCAGTCCAGTTTACCTGTTTGATGAAGGCTCAACCGTCTCATGGATACCATGCGGCAGGAAACTCACTTGCTCTTACCCTGGCATCAAATTCGCCTACGGACCCGATTCATACTTCGGGAACGAGGTATGCTTCCTTCTCTGTCCATAAATGAACTCTGGAGTTGTTAAATCTTCCATGTAAACGTAAATGTTTAATCTCTTTAGGTATCTATTCTGGAAATGGACGGGCAATTTGACAGATTAGATGAACTGATTTACGTTGAAAGCCATTTGAGCAACCTATCTACCAAGTTCTATGGGAAGTCACCCAACAAATGTTGAAGCATTCTGATTTCCTGGAAGTAACAACGGAACCGGCCTCTTCCAGACTATTGTCGGGTTGAAGATAAGAGACCTCTACGAGCAATTACCACTACCAAAACTGCTGCTCCACTTGAAGCAACAAAGCCTAAGACTTTCCTCATTAATTGGACAAAGTTTTGGCTTCCTCTTTTAGCTTCCCACAGTTTCCACTTCATATTTCAACTTTCATTTTGAGCCTTAGGCCTTTGCTCTCCTAAGAACAAGCATGCTCCTATATATTTTCTTCTGTTGTAATCTAGAAAAATGAATCCCAGATCAAATTCAAGTTAAAGAAGTTCATACAAGGCTGATATCCCCACGTTGTTAGCCATAATGATGCTTACGATTTTACCTTTTGTTGGAACAAGAGGATTTGTATAACGTTGTTTGTAGCGACCGGGTTGGGCCCAAAGTGAAAGCTAACACGAAATTAAATAATAAAAAAAATTATAACTCTCGGGGTTAAATTTGAAAGATTTGAGATGTTTGTTCGAAAATTTAAATACTGAGAATCATTATTTCATGAAGATGAACAACGTACTTTAAAATTAGTTTCATTGACGACCATCGTCAGAGTATTAACACATTTAACCTTTAGTTAGATTTTCATCAATTTCTAGTGAGTTTTGTGAAAAACGAATCCGATGATAAGAAAGATGAGTGAAATATGAATGTGCTAATACTGATTTTGCTTTGAATGACAATCCGTGACAGGCTTCAATTGATAACCAAAAGTGGTAAAAGTTTAGTGCCTAAAATTAAAATATTTAAAATTTAGTGACAAAACCGAAATACAAAAGAAATGGTTAATAAAATCTTAAAACAGTTTCATTTTGAGTATCAAATATCTAAAATAAAATGATATCATTTTGACCATATCATTACATGGACAAAAATTATAGTTCAGTGAGATCGATATAGTTTACCCTTTTATATAATATTCTTTAGGATGAATTCGTTTTCATTTTTTTTTTGGATGACATTTAAGAATGAAGCAAAGCGAGAGCATTTTATACAAAGAAATTTGGAAAACACGAATGATCATACGATGATTTCATCCGCAACATCATTGTTTAGAGTTGAAATACTGCTGTAAATATAATGATTCTGGAGGGGACATGCAAGTGTGCAGAATTGTTGCAACCGATAGTGTCAACCTTAGCCAACAATCGCGATCAAGCTTTGCCTGATTACCGGGACAGAGCAAAACAATGTGCCAAATATACCAGTGAGACCATAAGCAATGGCACAAAATGGAAGGGCTTCAGGTTCCTTGGCTGACAGTGCAGCTGTTCCCAATCCATGGGCACTGGAACAACACAAAAAGAAAATATGTCAACAAAATGAGACTAAGACTAGTCGTAAAATCGAGTATAGTGAGCTCTCACTGGTTTCATTATTGACCATGGAGGTACATACCTAGATGCCGTAGCTATCCCTCGAGCAATAGGATCACGGAAACGTAATTTGTCAAGCGTTGCTTGCACAAAGTTTGCGCCAATTAGACCAGTCACTACAACTGCAGCAGCCGTGAGAGATGAATTGGTGCCTACAAGCAACATAGACAAGCTATCATATCCACTGAAACTAATCCAATAATTGCAACCGGCAACTCTGAAGCGTGGTTTATCTTCCATTTATGTGCTCAGAGTCGAACTTTTTTGTTTAGTTATGTTATGTCAGAAATGAATCAGAAAACAAAGTTGCCTGCAATCTTCTGCAAAGTGTAGAAGGCAAGTTCTCTTACCCTCAAAAAAGGAAACAATGCTGAGAGCTAATGCCACGGTTATACATCTTGGTAGAATCGAAATAGTCAGGCTTGGTTCTAATCCAAGAAGACGTCCAACAAGGGCGGTTGAATACAAAGAAAAAAAGGCTTGACAGGATGATTGATATGAAGATCTCAGCTGCATGTCTCTTAACAAGCTGAAAAAGTAAATAGAATTTCATTGATTGGGGCTTACGTTACTCGTACTCGAGGGTGAGTGTTAAATACACATATCTATCTGACATTACCTTTCTCTGTTTGAACATTGAGAAAGCAAAAGAAAGAATAACAGAGCCCAAAAATCCCATGAGAATATCACCAGCTCCAGGATTAGATGACACCTTTGTAAGGTAATCTCCTGCAGGAACCAAGACCAACATTGTCATATCCACATAGAGTAACAATCATATGTACAAACAAAGAGCACAAACATAAAGCAATGAACTTGTCAAGAATTGCAAATCTGAGGATCGGATGCATATGTGACAGTTGCATATCAGTTTTCGTCATAACTAAAAAGGAGAAAGATTAATGTTTAACTTTTACCTAATACTGAATCAACTCCAGACCCAGATAAGTACCCAAAAGCCACTGCTGCCAGATCTGCTGATAGCGCACAGCAAATAATCGGATGGAAAACCTTTTTCAAACCAGAAGGCAACCTGAAAATCAGAAGAATGCAAATTGGTAAAAAATTCAAAAGGGTAGATATAGAAAGCATGTTTGTTATTGTTGTTATTACGAAAACTTTGTCCAAACAAATCTTCTGAAAAGAGGAAATGGAAATTTACCCTGAACCAATCATGTAGCCTAGCACAGTGGAGGCAAGTAGGAAGGGGAGGCATGTTCGGGCGGCTGTCCCTAAAGCTGTAGGATAGAACAATGCACTAACAAATGATGCAAGAAAGATACCACCCCAAGTCCAGAATTCTATAGGAGCAAATGGGGAAGGTTTTTTGCATAGGCTCAGCATCTATCATTTCTGTCTTCACAATTTTTCGAACGGCAATGGCTGTAAAACCCGCCACACAAAGCGAAGCTAACCATCCTCCAGCTGCATAAGGAATCAATATTTGTAACTATATTAAAGATTAAAATCAGTAACAAATGAGAAACCATGCATTAAAGCTTTAACAGTAGACATTCATGATAAATGAACATAAAACAGAGGCCTTATTGCCTAACTTTATAATAGCGAGTTCAAGATGAACTCATAAAATATCACCCAGTTTTCTCCTGGTGGAATAGTGATTTATTTCAAAGTAAAATGAACAACTTTCTAAAGACATGTACCTACATCCTAGACTTGCTAAAGAAAAGGTTAAAACTTCTATTTTACATTTAGAAGCAACAATGGCAAGTGATTTTCAAGGCCTAATCTCCGATTTTCGGAAGAGAACAGTAATTTACTATAACAAATCCATCCATAAAGAATCAACAATTCAGAAACAATCATAGAAGCCATAACAAAATTTATAATTCATCAAAGCTTTATAGTATATACCTATGATGAAGCATATCTTGAGGCCTGAAGCAGCAGGAATATCTCTAACAGAAAGTGGCAGAACCACCAAAGCTGGAACATAGAACAAAGGAAGCCATCTCTGAATGAACATGAGGGCTGGCTCAAAAAAGTTCATCAAGCTTGTTGCGGCAGCAGGGATAGTGGAATCAAGTATGACCAAAACAGAAAATGTACAAAACATTCCAAATAATGCACTTGGAAACTTTATAGCAGCAGCCACAAAAGCTTTTTTCAAGAAGTTATCCATTGCCAGAACTATACTAAGCGAAACAACCAAGTGTAAAACACCAAATACCTATATAAACAACAACAAAAATGTCAAGAAACATTTGATCAAGTTTTCTTTTTTGATTAAAAACAAAGAAGATTTACTCACTTTCTGAGAGAGAGTGGAGGTGGTACTGCTGCTACTATCTGAAGCAGAAGCTTTGAGTAAAGTTTCTCTGTAAGAGCTGGTCTCTGGAGTACCCATTTGCAGGAAATTGGATTTGGGTCCAAGAACACTGGTGGACTTATGGGGAGCAGGAGCAGTGGAATGATTGTCTCCATGCTTAAATAACTGTGGGTTCCCATGTGAAGCAACAGGTGTTCGGTGTCTACGGCTCCTGTGGAAGGATGGAGTAAAAGGAAACATGTAAAGGAAAAGGATCTGCAAAGAAGGTGGCGATGGTTAAGAAGAGAAAGACAAATTTGCGGGTGTGATGGTCACCAATGGAGAAGCCATTGAAAAATGTGAGTGTACAAAGTTCCCAGGAAAGTTCCATTTTCACCATGTGAGGTGACGCGTACGATCAAAAGTTTGTATGGACGTAAACTGCCGTCTCATCGAAACATGATGAGATTTCCCCCCCCCCCCCCCCCCCGAATACTTTTGGGGAGAGTGATTAATCATCAAGGTAACCGGAACAAGTTTCATTTTCCTCTATTCATTTCGTTGATCTAAATCGTAAAAGGTTTTCTTTGGGCCTTTATTGCAATATGGAACCATTCTAAAGATTGCAATATTGAGCCCAACCCACTTTAAGAAACTAAAGCCTTTTGCTATTTCCCTTCAACGGTAAATATATAAGATCAAAGGTCTGATTATATGAAAGACATCATGTTCAAATTAATCCTAACATTTATTAAAACGATCATTTTAATTTTTATTCCTTTTTGGAGTATTTTAATTTTTATTCCTTTTTGGAGTATTTTAAATTATAATATTTTAATTTTTGATGAAAATGATCATGATGAAAATTATTAATCACGTGATATTTACACATATAATTACTATGTCATATTATTATCTTGAGTGACGTAATATGTATTATGTGATCATCTTGAATGATATGATATATGTCACGTAATCACCTTAAGTATCACATCTTTATTTTAAGTGATATGACACATGTGATGTTATTATCTTATACAATATTTTGAGTGATTTAACACGTCACATCACCATCTTAAGCTATATGGAGTGTGACACGTCAATAATTTAGCACATGAAAAAATGTCATGTTAATAACATATTTTGATCTTTAGTCAATTAACGATTTTCATCCGATAGGGGCCATTTTAACTAAAAATTAAAATGTTGGAAGATTACAATACTCTAAAAAGAATAAATATCAAAAGATTTATTTGGACACATTGAGCACTAATTGTATCATTATGACTATAAAAAATTGACATCTTTTAGTTATTTTAAAAAGTAATCTAACAATTCTCCGCTATAAAAGTTATTGACTTCACCTCGACATTGATCCAAATTGATTGTAATATTTGATTTTCCGTGCAAAAGTAACTCTTTCATTTCTCTGCAAGCAAGATTAAAAGATAACTCCCATGGAGAAGAATGGATTACTGTTTAAAGAAATCATGCGATGATGACATAATGGAAGGAATTTTCCTGCAATTTTTGCTGGTGTTTACTTAGAGTAGACTAGACAGGCAATTTGATTCAGATAATTTGGTTTTAAAGGGCAGGAACAAAGATCTTAAAGTCTACAATTTAACAACTTTCTAAGCTCTCTTCGGAGGATCTTGCCTGCAGCAGACTTTGGTATTGAACTTGTAAACACCACCTTTCTTATTTTCTTGTAAGGTGCAACCTAATGATGATAACACAAACAGAGAAGAAAGTATATGGTAAGTGTTTAATCTAAAGACGTCAGTAAAGAAAAGAGCTGAGAATAGATGGTAACTGCATGTTCGAAAGGGATTATTATTATTATTATTATTATTATTATGTATAGACATACTCTTGAAATTAACCTCTAACGTTTACTTAAATGGTTAATTTAGTTTTTATTCTGTTTTTGGAGCATTTCAATTCCTATCGTTTTAATTATTGGTCAAGATAACCCCTATTGAATGAAAATTATTAATTGACTAACAGTCAACATGATATTCTCACATGTATTAGACTGCTAACGTGTCACATGTAACATTATCATTTTATGTGATATGTACATCAATATTATGTGTCACATCGTCGTCTTGGTGACGTAACATGTATCACATCAATAATTTAATATATATGAGAATATCACGTCAACAACGACGGATGTTGATCGTTAATCAATTAAGGGTTTCCATCTGGATCATTTTAACTAAAAATTAAAATGTTGAGAGTTAAAATAATAAACAAAAGGATATGAAAAAAATAATCATTTTACAGACGTTTGGAGGTTAATTTTGATGTCTTATGTATATATGGCACCTGCTTAGCCACGAAGTCCTTCACAGCTTCCTCGGTCAGTGGGATACCATGTCTCCTCACCACAAATGCCACCGGAATCTCCCCAAATACGTCGTCGTTCTCCCTGAGGCACTCAAAGTAAACAAATAGGACAGTAGGTCATTAAGGTTCATTATCCTATAAGACATATCCTTGACAAAAACAGTACTTACGCAGTTACAGCAGCATCAAGTATCTCAGGATGGGAAATCAATATTGCCTCTAAATCAGCAGGGGCTATCTGATATAACACATAAAACTATAAATTCCATGCTAATTATGATTGATTATAAAATATCGAAGTCATAGGGAAAAAAGAGCCATACCTGATAGCCATTGTACTTTATGATCTCTTTTAACCGGTCGGACAAATACAAATACCCATCTTCATCGAAACAAACTATGTCACCGGTACGTAGCCAACCGTCTTTGTCGATTGTCATCGCGGTGGCCTCAACATTATTCAAGTATCCTGCAAAATTGGAGTAGTGTCATCCTCGTATTCAAAGCAACTCAAAGATGAGACCACACCATATTTGAGGGAAGAGTTAAATTAATTACGTTGCATAATTGCAGGTCCTCTTAGCCAAAGCTCGCCGTAACATCCCGGAGGCAGTGTAGAGCCAGAGTTCCAATCCATCACTTTAGCTTCCATATTTGGTGCCAACAGTCCTATTGACGAATATTTATGAAATTGTTGTGTGTTGTAGCCACGAGTTCCTACAGCAGTTGTTTCAGTCATGCCATAACCCTATGAACAGATCAAATTCAAGGTTTGCATCAATAAGAACTGTAAGGAATGCCATCGAAATGGAGGATAGTATGTGTTAGAACTTAGGCCTTAATACCTGAATGAAATCAACGTGAGGAAGAACCTGAAGGAAGTCATCTATGATTTTCCTGCTCGTCGGAGCAGCACCGCAGCAAATCTGTTTCAAACTCCTGAGGCTATGTTCACAGGCACCTTTGGCTCTCATTGTCAATGTTGCCAGCATAGGTGGAACAACTGGAAAGTGAGTAACTCCGTAGTCATCGACCAGTTTCATCGCTTCACCAGCATCGAATCTCCGCATAATAACGATGGTAGTACCCAAAGATAACAGTCCAACCACAAAGAGTGATAAGCCATAGATATGGAACATAGGTACTACAGCCAAATAAACGTTCTTTGAACTTGGATACTTGTACTGTGAAGCCTCAAATTTTACAAATAGCTCAACCATTGCTATTAAGTTCCCATGCGTCAAAACAACTCCCTTACTAACACCTGTAGTACCCGATGAATACATTATTGCAGCTGTGTCTTGCTGCCTGATCACCGGCCTCGACGCCTTACCGAATCGACACCCGATAAGCTTATGGAAAGGGGAAAAACCAATACTTTCTGAATCCAAGTCAATGTTTTCCGGTACCCCAATTGCATGAACACCCAAGTTCTGAAGTTGCTCACTCTTTTCAAGCGAAGTGAAAGCAAAACGCACACTACAATGGGAAATCTGTTTCTCGATCTCAAACATGCTACTTAGCGGATTCATGGTGCTAACAACAGCACCTAAATATAAAACGCTCAAGAAAATAATGGGAAAGTAAACAGAATTTGGCAACAGAAGCAAGACCACATCACCTTGAGAAACACCCAGGTGGTGGAGGCCAGAGGCCATGGATTGGACTAAAGGTAAAACCTTTGAATAAGGTATTGAAAACCCAGACGAGGGATCGATCAAAGCAGTGACCCCGTCGTGCTGGTGAGAGAAAAGGAAGGAAACAATATCAAGAAATGGATCAGTGGGGAGAGATATAGAGGGATGCTTACTGGAATAGATTCCAGTTTCCGGTGAATACCAGTTAGGAAAATGAATAGCTTTGGATTCTGAAGTTTCGAGGCTGAAATGTGAGTTCAAGCTCGTTGCCATTGATGCAGAGCTTAGAGGAATATTGGGTATAGTAGGTTTGCAGTTTGAGCTTCGTCAAGGGCTGCAAAATGGACCGCTATGTTTTTTTTTTTTTAGGCTCTGATCACCTTTGCTTTGCCTTTTGATTTGAGTTTTCCAATGTTCGAAGGTCTGGCTTATTAATAACAATGAGTGGCACTGTGGCAATGGAAAAAGGAAATATTGATGGGGAGTGTGCGGACTTGACTCAGCAGTCAGCACAGAAATGTTGGACTAAATTATTCAATTTTCCAGTTCTATAGATACAAGATAACAAGAAGACAAAAAAGAATGAGTACAAACTAAATGTTTACCATACTTAACTGTAATAAAAAATAATGACTACTAATAAATAAATAATATAAATGGTTTTAATATAAAGAAATTGAGAAAAATGTATAAATAAGTAGAGATACAGAAAAGGAAATTATCCCTTAAAATATTATAAAAAATTTAAAATGTGAACCATGATAAAAAAAAAGGTCTAATTACATTTTTGTCCTATAATGATAATGAAGCAGAATTTTCGATCGTTTTAATCCCTTATTAAATTTAAAAATTATTAGTAAAGGATTAATGATTCGATTAAAAAAAGAGAGGATGTTTCGAGGGATAAAAAACCCTAGAAGGATAAAAACATATGTTTCGAGGGATAAAAAATCAACTCTATAAAGATGTTTCAGTTTAATAATCTAGACGAGGATTTTGCGTTGAGAAAGATTAAATCTAACCTTCAAAGATGTATTTGTCTAGACAACCTAAACAAAATAGAACAACAACTCAACATGTTGCAACGTACTTGAATATTCACACTATAAAATAAGAAAAAATTAAATATTAAATAAATAAGAAAAAGTTTAAACATACTTTCTCACATGCGAATTCATTTTTTTGGCAGCAGTTAATACCATAACAAAATTTATATTATTCTTTTTATTTTTTTAATTGTTCAATTAGTGTAAAAAATTAAAAAGTTCAAAGATAACTTTTAACCATTAAATATTGAACGTTCATATCTTTGACATTTTTAATGCTCGAGCTCGGGACTTCAAAAAATAAAAAATTATTCATTTACCACCAAAGTTATTTAATTCGTGCATATTCTTCTATAATTTAATGGGAAAATGTGATTTTTTTGAGAGTCAAGTCATGATAATCATTTTATTTTTCTATAAGCATAGTAACCATTTTCTCTCTCCAGCTACATATGCCTCTTATTCCCACAAAAATGATTAATTCAGCGGGTTTCAATTATATTAAATTATATTAAAATAATTTATAATATGGCTGAGTATAGTAAAAGATGTAATTTTTTACATAATAGGCACAGGGTTTACAATTCTTGATGACCATCTTATTTTACAATAAGCATAAGTCAACCATTTTCTCTCTTCAGCTTACATATGCCTCTAATTCCTACAAAAATGATTAATTCAGTGTGATTCAATTATATTATATTATATTATATATATATTTATATTATATTATATTATATTATATTATATTATATTATATTATATTATATTATATTATATTATATTATATTATAGGTATGACATAATGTATTAAAAATGATCATTAATTATTAGGTTTAGATTTGGAATAGGTAAGATTGAAGACGCAGACTCGCATTATAGCCGCCCAATGCCGCATGTAGTCGGGCATTGATAGTCCAATTAACGTGAGGCAAATTTTTTTTTTTTTTATAAAAAACACTTTTTAAAAAATAAAATAAATTCTGAATTTTATTAAAATTAAAATATAATTTTATCATTAAATTGAACCGTTGTGATTATGGAATGAGATGTGGGAGTAATCTAAAAACTATTGACTAGACCGCCCCAATCCAATTCCAAAATCCTTTGGTGGACTTGGAATTTCAGTCTAAAATGGCATTCAAAAGGAAATTGCCTGGCCAGCAAACGGTCACCCCAAGTCATCTACTATTTGATTAATAATTTCAGTCCCCATTTTCTTTTTCATCTTTTCCTAGACTTATAGTACAATCTTTTGTTGGATTAAAATTTGAAATTGTATATACATATGTATAATGTACGATGTTATTATAAAATATGACATAAAATTAAATGATCAACTATTTTATAGGTGCTATAAGTATTAAAGTGTCATAGAAATAATAATGTAGATTCATAAGTTGTATTTATAATTTGACGAGAGATAAAATTTTAGATACTTAATAGACTAATCTAATATTCAGTCTACATAAAAAATAATGGTCCCTAATAAATATGTTAACTTGTATTATAATGGACTTTTACGGAAAGGACAAACCTATCTTCTTGGAGAATCACAATCATCTTTTAGGTGATCTCCGTCAATAAATTTAAATACGCTTTCACATATCTAATGTTATATTTTTATCTTGATGATCTAACATGATTAGATTTTGAGTTTTGATTTCATATTTATTATGATTTGGTTCTGACACATTTTTTAAGTATATGGAGATGAACAAAAGGGACAAAAAGAACATGGATATAAATTTATGCTCATTATATATGTTAATATTTTTATGAAGATATTTAAAGATTATATTCATATTTATATATATTTATATCAAATAATAGAAAATTAAATATAATACACATGTTTTATTTTTATATCTTTTTATTATCACATGATTTTTAATCAAATTAATGTTATGAGTTGATTAGATAATAAATTATTTAAAAATATATATTTAAATAATAATTAATATTATTTTATCTAATCATTTAAGCGGACTGAATCGGATGTAGCGTCTTGGACTGGCCGGTAATAATTCATTCTAATTCCGAGTGTTGGTCAAGCAGCCATTGCGTTGTGACGCTGCTATCAATTGTTGAATCAGTATGGTCTATGTTTCACTTTACAATTGTGCGTTCAATTTCTAAACACCCACAACATACCGCTACTGATGTTTTTCATTTTTTTTATTCATGTTTGAATAAAATAATTACGTAAGTAGCAAATTTGAGAGAGCAATTAATTAAAAAGCAAACATACGTGTGACTTTAACCAAGGATCAATTTAGAATGAGGTCATAATTTGTGGACTGCTATGGAATATTTAAAAAAAATATGAATCAATTTAGAATAAGTCATAGATTAAGGACCTCCTATGAAATTAACTCTTTATAATACTTCGATTTAGAGAAATTCAAAGACAAGGAAGCCTCTTAAATATTTTACTTTGTCATTTTATATCATTTGGTTATAAGGTTTACGGAAATTAGAGAATATTCAGTTTCAATTTTAAAATTTGACTGAAATTATATATAATACTTAAGTTTTACCCGACCATTTTAAAACTATTTATATATCATTTGGTTACACCAAATGTTTTCATATTTTTTATACTTGCATATTTAAAAATTATATATTTATTCAAAATTTTGAATTTCAGTTTTTCAATTATAATTTTAACAAATAAAAATTACTAATTTTATAGGTGGGGTTTTCCAAAATTTTCTATCATTAATAATAAACAACTTAAATTTAATTAAAAAATTACAAAATTAAATTGAATCACTTTAATTATGAATCTTAAATTGATTCATGAATTAATGTTTATCATTTTTTTAAGTTCGAGTGAATTGAATAACAATACTAAGGGGTCGTTTGTTTATTGTTGAATGGAACCATTCAGCGCTGAATATTGAACTGTTCAACATTTAGCGTGTTTGATTCTCACCTCTGAATGAAGACTATGCTGAATGAAACAGTAAAACACTGCTGAATGATTCAGCATTAAAGTACATTCTGAATCATTAAGCACCCGATATTTTACCATAATACATATTTTTTCACATGTTGTCTTATTAAAGAATCATATCTTATAATATAATAAATCATTATGAAGGTAAAAATGAAAATATTCATAATTCAGATTGTACATTCAGAACCATTATCAAACAGCATGTCACATTCAGAGCTAATTTATACAGAGCCTTTGAATCATTCAGGTCATTGAATCATTCAGCGCTTAATCATTTTATTTTATCAAACAGCCCCTAATTTTGTATGCAAGTAAATAGATCAACTCTTTTAAATATATCATTTGAAAATAATTAAAATATTATTTTACAACTAAATCAAGTACAAATTCTAAATCAATAAGAGATAATATTCCAATCGGGCTCCCAAAATACTGATGCAAATATTTTTTTCCTAAAAAAACCAAAACATTATAATGAATTGTATAATTTTTAAAAATGTATGTTAAATTCTATATAAAACCAAATTTTTAGATGTAAAATTATAGAGAAAAAGAGTTTAAACGTGTTGTGCATGTATAAAAAATCATAAAATGATCATTTATAAACAACATGTAAAATAGTATATTCCATTTGTCTCATTAAATATGTTCTTGATTGTTTTTTCTTTTGGTCATTTTTAACATTAACTTATTATTATTTAAAATTTATTATTGATAAAAATATAAAAAATATTTTTTTTAAAAAACCTTAAATCAAGTAATTTTTAAATACAAATTTTAAAAAATTTAATTATTTAAAATAATCGTGATCAAAATTTTTAATTTTTAATTTTTAAAAAGTTAATAAGAGAGGGACAAATAAAGTAACAAAATCTCTAAAAAATAATAATTTTTACTTGTAAATATAAAAATGAATTTGAATATTAAAATTTTATGAAATATATTGCAATTCGCATTGATAAATTTACTATACTATACAAATACATTAAAAATTAAAATCACAAAACGAATACAAAAATTCCCTTATGTATCCTTAAAACTACAACCTCCTTTAATAAATAAAAAGAAATAAATAACACAAACCAATTAATTATGCACGTATAAATATTGATTTGGACGTTCACCCGTTGGATTGAATTAAAGCAAGGTGTACTTTTGAGGTGAGATGCATGAACCCTGCAAAGCACCCACCCTCTTCATTTCTTCTATATGAACATACTTGTATTTTCCATTAACAAATAGCCAGCCAGAAATTGAATTAATAAAATTTTCATCTCCTTTAACTACATTTTTAGAAAATCCTATTT